ACGTACCAAGGTATACTACTGGCAAATCAATGACCGAGGCAACTCGTCCGCCCGCAAGATGCCGGCCGTCTCTAGCTGTTCCAACCTCCTCTTCCTCCTCCTCCTCCTCCTCCTCCTCCTCTTCCTCCTCCTCCTCCTCCTCCTCCTCCTCCTCTTTCTATTCCTGCTCTTCCTCTTCCTTCTTTTCCTATTCCTACTCATCCTTCTCTCTCGCCGTCCTCCTTTGTATTCACGTATATGATGGACGCTGAGGATTGCTTGAGGACGATGAAGGGATTTGCTGTTCTATCTCTCTTTGGCTGTACTTGCATGCGTTTCAAGGGTGTTTTCGAACGTTGCTTCATAGTTCGAAAGTTCAAGGCAGATATAGCGGAATTTTATACCACGTGCATATTGTATGCGTGTGCGAATTTAAGAGGGAAAGTGCGTACGTATGCGTATAATGTATGTGTATGCATAAATAGACACATATGTGTATATCATTATTTTTTTATATATCTATCTAACTGTCTGTATTTGTATCCATCTATCAATGCATCTATCTTTACACACGCGCGCGCCCGCATGCACGTATTGTCCAATCATCCATTTACGTGTTATCATCGACAACTTGTCTGTTTATTTTCTTCCTTCGCCGTGTAAAAACTTTCCCTCTCTTTCCTTTTATACGGCGGCAGTTTTGTAAAACGCGAAAGATAGAAACTGATTCTGGCAAAATAAGTCGGGTCCTTCAGACCTTTATTCGATATCATGGTCTTAATACTGTAATATTTTCCCGTTATTTTCCCGAAATTTCTCTGGTTTGTCAACTCCTTTTCATTTCGGAACTAGTCTGCAGGCTGAACGCAATTTTTCTTGTTCGGGATATAAATGTTTCTAAGTTTTTGTTTTATTTATTTATGCTTTAAGTGGATAGTTTCGCAAATATATATATATATGTATATATATATATATATATATATATATATATATATATATATATATATATATATATACATATATATATACATATATATATATTAATTCTAATAAATTGTAACCAGTAAAAATATGCATTTATGTATATATCTTTTCTCTAAGGAAATCTATTTATCAAACTTCTAGACGAATAGACTTCAGTATCCACGAAACACAACCGGATTTCCCCAACAAAAATATAATCAAACTTCCATAACTGTATTAATAAAGGTTAAAAGCAAACCGCATTATCTCCCCTTAGAGTAAAAATACTACAAAGAAGACCAGAAAAAAAAGAAAAAGAAAAAAAAAACGCCATACGGGACGCTAAAGTGTGAATCGCAACTATTTTACCTAAAAAGAAGAGACGTACTATAAAAAAAATGCTATATGAAACTTGGGGGAAAACTGTCTGAAAACATTTTCCCTTGAGCTTGACGTTAAACACGGAACCACAAGTACTGTCCCGTAATGAGTTTTAGTGATCGCTGCTTGTACCGAAATTCTGTTCTTTCTGTTCCATTGTTCACAAGATCTTCACTTTAGATGCTCTCATTATCATTTTAACGTTAGATGGTAAAATTCTGATATGTTGGTATTAAAAAACAACACAAAAAAGAACGAAAAATATGGAGGAATTGGCTGTGGGGAACGCAAACTAAGAGCGAAAATGTTGGGACAAATCTTGTAATGGCAACTTTTATCAAGAGGCGGCCTTTGTCTTAATGCTCTGGCATCCTTTCTCATTATCGCGATTTTCTGTCTGGCGCTCTCTCTCGTTCTCGGGTCTTCCGCGTTCTCTTTCTCTTTACTTCTCTCTCGTTTTTATCTGTCTATCTGTCTATCTTTATCTCTTTGTTTTTCTTTCTCTGTTTCTTTCTTCTCTCGGTCTCTCTCTCTCTCTCTCTCTCTCTCTCTCTCTCTCTCTCTCTCTCTCTCTCTCTCTCTCTCTCTCTCTCTCTCTCTCTCCCTCTCCATCTCCCTCTCTCTCTCTCTCTCTCTCTCTCTCTCTCGCTCGCTCTCTCTCTCTCTCTCTCTCTCTCTCTCTCTCTCTCTCTCTCTCTCTCTCTCTCTCTCTCTCTCTCTCTCCCTCTCCCTCTCTCTCTCTCTCTCTCTCTCTCTCCCAATCTCTCGTTCTCTCTCTCTCTCTTTCTCTTTCCTTCCCTTTCACTTTCCCTCTCTCTCTCTCTCTCTTTCTCTCACTATCTCTCTCTATCTCTCGTTCTCTCTCTCTCTCTCTCTTTCTCGTTCCCTTTCTCTCCCACTCTGCGTTTTTTTCCTTTACTGGATCTTTCTCATTCTCTTCAGACTTTCATCTCTTAATATCCTTTTGATATAACGGACATTTCTCTTTCTTCAGATTTTTAATCTTTGTTATCTATTAATCTATCTTTCTATCCATATATGTATATGTGTGTGTGTGTGTGTGTGTGTGTGTGTGTGTGTGTGTGTGTGTGTGTGTGTGTGTGTGTGTGTGTTTTTATGTTCACATGCTTCGTGCACCAACATGCTTTCAGAAATCTCAGAGTTCTGAAATCTCAAACTCAGAACAGTCATCAAAAGTTTTCTTTACCTCAACCTATCTAATTACTTGGACTTGACGTACCAATGACATTTATTGCATTTATAATAAAAGAAAATCATATTCACCAGTGTATTGAAAAAAACAAATCAAAGGGTAACATGAAAGGCGTCTCTTAAAAGGATAGGAAACACCATAAAAAAAAACTTCATTTGTTTACCCACAATGCATCGCGTTTATGACGTCACACTTCGAAAAAAATAATTAAAAAAAAAAAAAAAACAACGCTTACATCTTACCATCTTCTATTCCTTGCAGTGAATTATTGAATGGGCAGGCCTGTGCAATATCTGGATGACCCTGCAATAAAAGAATAGAAATAAAAAAATATATTTTTCTTTATTGATCTCAGAGAGCGAAGGAGGAACACGTAGAGCGAACGGAAAACACATTGCATATTCTATCCTGATAAAGCTGACTTATTCCTTAGAAATCCCTCCAGAATACGTAGTTTTTTACACCTAAATGATTCATGACAGTACTTAAAGTTTCGAAGTACACCGGTAGCAGTTTAAGTCTAGTTGCGGGATTGAATTAAGGTTGGGTGAAAGAGTTTACTGTTTACTGGTGTTCTTTATTCTGTAACATTTATATTCGTATAAAACAGCCTTGCCACATTATGAAAGTCATAATCATGAATGATCGTTTAATTTAAGAACGGGTCTTTAGCTAGGCAAAAAAGATCATAGTTTGTTGTTTTTATTTCTTTCCACACATATATGCAGACACACACACACACACTGTACACGCGTGAAAGTTTGAGATTACCGGATTCCAGTCGGTCGAGGTGAGATGCTTTAAAGGCATATCCGTCTCCGCTTGTGTGCTTTCTTTGTATTTGCTTTTACTCTAGACATTTTAATATATATATATATATATATATATATATATATATATATATATATATATATATATATATATATATATATATATATATTATATATATATATATATATATATATATATATATATACATATGTATGTATGTATGTATGTATAAGTATATAAACGTATGTATGTATATATATGGTGATATAAGTTCTTATCTACTTCTCTGCCCCATGTCAATTTTTCAATAAAGGTTTATCAAAGTGCTTTTTTAACCTGGTGTTTTTCGAGCAGATTTTCAATATGCCGAAGTATTGCGGTCGACTGCCATTCGGGGTACAGACTACCATGACAGAAAAGGAAATGACTAAAACTAGTAGCTGCCTATGATGCCTATGAATCCCCAGCTAGCATGTGTGAGCCACATTTTCTGCCGGAGGATTCTTTTCAGGAGACTTTAGGTAAACAGAGCGGCTGCGTAAGATTTTGAAATCTGATGCTGATCCTTTCGTCTTTAATGCTGCCCAGAGTGAGTTCATATTTGGCAAATATCTTACCTTTTCGTTAAGAAACGTTTTTTGATAAGTTTTGACATGTTTTGCAGTAATGTTTGCAGTGGTATCTCGGAAACTGAGGAAGAGACGCGGAAGGAAAAGAAAGAGATATTAACTTCCTTCTCAAAGTTGTCGATCCAATATTTATCTACATATCTTTTCAGTTTTATTGATAATGTTCTGGTATAACTGCTTCTACAATATTGTGAACAATGATATGCCTTTGTTATTATTTTCCCGTTCTTGTATTATTACATTTGATGGTAATTGCGTTCAAAGGCGTCTTCTGACCAATTGTCCGAAAGTACCTTTACAACATGTGTTCAGGTTAATGCACTCTATAGTGTATTAACATGAACATATTAAGGTTTATGTTTTAGATGAAAGCTTAACTTGGTCTGAGGACACCTTTGAACGCAGCAATCTCTAAAGGTTAAGCGGAAAGACCATGTAAATCCACAAAAGCTCACACATGTCAACATTCACATAATTCACATAAAATGCATGCATAACTTCAAAACATGCCTACGCACACATGCTATCACATAAAATAGCATAGCTCTAACACCTTCATATATTTTTATAGATAATTAATGAGGAAAGGGAAATGGAACACTAATATGGACTATGTTACTACCATTTTTTCTCACAGTATAATTATATATGAAGATGCAATTTTTTCTCCAGATATATAGTTTAGTGATATAATTTTCTTACGAATGTGTATCAGAGTTTATTGTTCGGTGTGCTTATTAGATCATATAGTTGTTTGTTTCTTGTAATGTAGTGAGGGTCTGGTTAGTTTATTGTTTCTCTAGCACAGCCTAGTTAGGGCAGTAAGATAATCAATTTGTGTGAAGTTTAGTTTAGTTAGTTTGTATATTCACGGGCGTACTGAGCAGTTTCAATAGGCTTGTAGCGTGATTTATTTATTGTTTATTAGTGTTAAGTCCAGTAAGTCTGTCATAGTATTCATGCCATTAGCTGGTTGAATTTAAAGTTCCCCATTAAAAAACCTTCATAAAAGAACTTTAAAACCTAAATAACGTTCAGAATTTCAAATGAACACATTTTTCAAC